TCGGTGGGTGCGCAGGGCCTGCTGCTGGCCCTGCACCCCGGGGTCACGCCTGGCGGGGCCCGTGCGCGTGGCCAGCGCCCTGCCCGCTGTCCTGGCGCGGGGTCTGCACCTCCCCCTCCTCTTGGGGGTCCCCTGGGATCCGGGGTGAGGCCCGGTTCGCTCCAGGGCGCGCCCCCTGCTGGGTGTCGGGTGACCTGCAGGCGGAGGCGGAGCCGGTGAGGTCGGTCCCTCCCTCCCCCCAGGAAGCCCTGGCTGCCCCCGGCCCACTCCCACTCGTGAACTGCGGATTCCTGGACCCCTTTCCTGCCCTACGCTTAGATTCCAACTCCTTCCTTCCTCCCTTCCTCCTTTCCCTCCTCCTTTCTTCCTCTTCCTTCCTCCCTTCCTCCTTTCCCTCCTGCTTTCTTCCTCTTCCTTCCTTCCTCCTTTCCTTCCTCCCTTCTTTCCTTTCCCCTTCCTTCCCTCCCTCCTTCCTTCCTTCCTTCCTTCCTTCCGTCCTCCTTTCCTTCCTTCCTCCCTTCTTTCCTTCCTTCCTCCTTTCCTTCCTTCCTCCCTTCTTTCCTTTCTCCTTCCTTCCTTCCTTCCTCCCTTCTTTCCTTTCCCCTTCCTTCCTTCCTTCATCCTTCCTTCCTTCCCCCCTCCCTCCCTCCCTCCTTCCTTCCTTCCTTCCTCTCCTTCCTTCCTTCCTCCCTTCTTTCCTTTCCCTTCCTTCCTTCCTTTTTTCCTTCCTTTCTTCCTCTCTCCCTTCCTTCCTTCCTCCTTTCCTTCCTTCCTCCCTTCTTTCCTTTCCTTTTCCTTCCTTCCTTCTTTCCTTTCTCCTTCCTTCCTTCCTTCCCCTTCCTTCCTTCCCCTTCCTTCCTTCCTTCCTTCCCCTTCCTTCCTTCCTTCCTTCCTTCCTTCCTTCCTCCCTCCCTCCCTCCTTCCTTCATTTCTTCCTTCCTTCCTTCCTTCCTTCCTTCCTTCCTTCCTTCCCCTTCCTTCCTTCCTTCCTTCCTTCCTTCCTTCCTTCCTTCCTTCCTTCCTTCCTTCCCCTTCCTTCCTTCCTTCCTTCCTTCCTTCCTTCCTTCCTTCCTTCCTTCCTTCCTTCCTTCCTTCCTTCTCCTTCCTTCTCCTCCCTTCCTCCCTCCCTCCCTTCCTTCCTTCCCGGCTCCCCCAGCTCTCCACCAGCGAGAACTTGGTCCGGTTCCGTGTCCCCCCGCTCATCCCGGAGGCCCGGAGCCGCGACCCCCAGCACGGGGAGGGGCAGCGGACGTTGCCGGCAGCGCTGCTCTGACCGCGCATGCCCGGAGTCCCCGCGAGCACGAAGCCTCGGGGCCGGCCCGCCTGGACTCCGCCCGACCAGCCCCGAGAGGCGGCATCTTGCAGGCTGGTCTCTGTGGGCTCCGGCCGCCACCCAGCGGTCGGCCGCAGAACTGCAAGCCACGGTGACTAACCGACAGGTCAGTCCGCCGCCCGGCCGACGCGACAGGCGGCCAATCAGCCCGCAGCCCGGCACACCGGGCGGCCAATCAGCTCAGCCCGCAGCCCGCCGCGCCAGGTAGCCAATCAGCCCGCAGCCCGGCACTCCAGGCGGCCAATCAGCCCGCAGCCCGGCACCCCAGGCGGCCAATCAGCTCAGCCCGCAGCCCAGCCGTCGCGACAGGCAGCCAATCAGCCCGCAGCTGGCACGGTTCATTCAAGGCTGGGCTCTGGAGTCCCGTGAAAACACAACTCGGCACAACCCTTCTGCGGAGAGATCTGGCCAAAGCTGACCAAGCTACCCGTACCCGTGCCCTCCTCGCCAGCAATCCCACTGGAGGAACCTATCTCCGAGACCCATGTGCAGTTATTCCCTCCCTCCCTCCCTCCCTCCCTCCCTTCCTTCCTTCCTTCCTTCCTTCCTTCCTTCCTTCCTTCCTTCCTTCCTTCCTTCCTTCCTTTCCCTCCCTCCCTCCCTCCCTCCCTCCCTCCCTCCCTCCCTCCCTTCCTTCCTTCCTCCCTCCCTTCCTTCCTCCCTCCCTTCCTTCCTAGCTTCTTGAGTCACACCCAGCAATGCACAGGGGTTACTCCTGGCTCTGCACTCAGGAATTACTCCTGGCGGTGCTTGGGAAACCAGATGGGATGCTAGGGATCGAACCCGGGTCAACCACGTGCAAGGCAGACGTCCTACCCATTAGAAACCACCTTAGACGCTGGTGGAATGACCCAGTGACATGCGTGCGCGGTGGAATGCTCTGAATCCAGACTCCTCTGAGTTGACGTGGACCATTTCCAGAATATTCTCCTCGGTGGGCAAGAGCAAAACCCTGCAGAGTTGTGTTCTAAAGCATGTTGTCTTTCATGTAAGAAAGGGGTGGGCCAAAGCGCACAGTACTGGTTCGCTGGTGACCAGTGAACACAGAAAGGATGAAAGAGCCCCCCCCCCCCCCCACTGTCCTGGTGAGGAGGAGGGGCCGTAGAGGCGGCCGGGTGAGGATGGAGCAAAAGCCTCCGGTTGCGTGTCTGTTTCCATCTTTCATAAACCTTCACACACTCGGAAAAGAGAGCACGGGCTGGGGGACAGTTCACGGGTTGTCTGCAGCTCCTCAGCACCCCGAGGTCCCCAGAACAGGGTCAGGCCTGGCCCCTGAGCATCACTCCAGGGTTCAAGTCACACCACAGCCCCACGGCTGGGAGCCATTGGGTCCACTGGGACCCTCCCAGATAAAAACAGCAAGTCAACCCGGGGCCTGGGGTCTGGCGCAAATCCCCAGCACCGCCGGGTCCTCCTGGGCGCCCAAGCCCCAGTATCAGGCGGCCCAAGATGGTTGACTGACCTGGCCCCTGGCTCCCGGTGACAGCTGGGGAGCCCCACCCCACAGGAAGAAATGAACCCATAAATTAATCCCAAGCAGGGTGGGGGCAATCCAAAGGGAAGCAGGCACGAGAATGACTGGGTATTCCCCCCCACCCCTCAGGGGACAGCATCATCATCCCAGGCTGCCGGGCACCGTCGGACGGGACACCTGTAGGACGGGCCACCAAACATGTGCCTGGGGTCTTGGTGCAAACGCCCAACTCCTGTGTATGCCAGGACTTCCTGTGTACACTAGAACTGAACACCTCCGACAGTCCGGATACTGGCAGGTGGGGTCCTAACTGTTGTAGGTTAAGTGGCACAAACGCAGGTCCGGGGGGGGGGTCTTGATGACCCCACGGTGTTGGGCTGGCTCTGCAGGGCTCAAGGTAGCTGCCATTGTTCGACATCACTGCAAGGACAAGCTAGAAGACGAATAGCGGCCATCCAGGCGAGCCTCTCTGCACACCTTGACGTGTGCTTCCCTCCATGAGTGTGTGGCGCTCTCTCTCTCTCTCTCTCTCTCTCTCTCTCTCTCACACACACACACACACACACACACACACACACACGCGTGTTCACTCACTCTGGTTCCTCCTGCCTGGACCGATCATGGCCCAGCAGACAAGTTCCTCTAGCAACCGTTCTGGGCTGCAAGCACCACTCCGCGGTGCTGGCCGTGCAGGCGTCCTCCTGGAGTAGTGGGGTCTGGTTTTCCTGGCACCACTGGGCCTCGTCCTGGCAGCGTGCGGGGACCGGACCCCGCCTGGGCCTGCAGCCTGAGAGGCGGCTGACTCCGGGAAGCTCTCGCAGGACGGGCTGTCCCATCCACAACCTCACTTCCGCTGTGGGCAGGAGGGACGAGGTTCCCGCTCACTTGGGGTCTCTGTGACCCCCCCACTCCTCTCCCCAGACCACCGAAGACTGACCATGGCAACACAGCAGAGGAAGTGTGGTTCACCAGCTCGGCACCCACACTGCCTTTGGGATCTTTCACTGGTTTGGGGTGTCTGGCTAGCTCCCGTCCCCAACTCTCACAGGACCCCAAAGGTAAAGCACACACATGTACACACTCATGTACAGACAACATGTGTGCACATGCAATACACACATGTATACACATATGCAACACAGCACGTGGGCACAATGCTCATGCACACATGTGAACACATATGCACACATGCACACACAACACGTGCATACAATTGCACATGCATTGTGCACACAACACACAAACATACGTGCACAAATACACAAGCAAGACATACACATGTGTACACACATGTACACATGCATGCACAGATGTACACCCATATGCATACACATGTGCGTGCACACACCAATACACACATATAGACATACACATGTGCACACACAATAACACACATGCATATACACAAGTGCACAGACAACACACGTGCACAATGCAGCACACACAAACATACACAGTGCACACGATATACATATGCACACCGCACACACACAGCATGTACAAGCAAAAACATACACGTGCACACACCATACACGTACACACACATGAACACACATACACACAGGGACACACATGCACATGCACATGCACAGCTGCAGAGAACCTGTGTGTGACATGCCAGAGGAGGCACCAGTTCAAGCCCCAGTTCCCACGGACCCCCGAGCACAGCACCCCGGGCGCCCGGGCTCTGCGCCCTTTTCTAACTCACGGCCTCGTTTCACACCTCGAAACTGCACTCACTTGGGGTGGACTTGCCCTTGGTTGTTTTCCTCGGGGCCTGCCGTGGCTCAGGGGCCCGGGGGCCACTCCTGGTGACCATGGCCCTGCAGTGCCGAGGACCAACCTCGGGGCCTCCAGCCTTTGCGCCCTCCTCTCCGCAGCTGAGTTCCTTGTGCAGGTGAAACGGGTTCTGACTTAGGGACCCCGGGCACCCTGGACGCCTCCGCCTCCCTCACCACGTGATCTCGGGGTCCCCCTCACCACCGCCAGCGCTCAGGAGGCGAGCGGGGTGAGGACGAGTCCCCCGGCTTCTGACCCAGTGGGCTTTGGCCCCCCCAGGTTTCAAAGACAGGGGTCCCGGCCGGGAAAGAGGGGCCACCGCGGGTCTTACTCCAGAATAATTTATTTCTTGAGCCTCCAATCCTCCATGCGCTGCCCACTCCCCCTGGGACCCCCGAGTCCTGGCACTACCACTCACTCGTCCTCTTCGCCCCAGACCTCGTAGATGGTGATGCCGTTGTTGGGGTCCGTGGGCCCCTCGGGGCTGTGGTGCTTGAGGCCCCTGCCCGTCGCCATGACAAGCTTGAGGTTCCGCACCTTGGACATGAACTTGACCAGGTCCATCTCGAGCTGGCTGAGCGTGTTGAAGGCGTACTCCTTCTGCGGGGCCAGGGCCGCCGGCTTCCGGCTCGGGCAGCGGAGCGAGCAGGCTTGGATGGAGGGAGAGGCCGGCTCCTGGTGGGGAGAGCGTCCGGGTGACAGCCCCGGGTGAGCTGGGGTCCTGGGGGAGAGGTTGCTAGCCCAGGAAATGCACTCACTTGGGGTGGGCAGAGACCGCAGGTCGCAAAGCCACGCACCCCCTTTCAGGAAACCCTGTCGAACCTCCCCAAACTCCCCAGCCTCTGAGACCCCCATTACCACAACTCTTTCCCTCTCCACTAATTTTCCTCCGGCTCTCTCGACCTCCGGTTTTTTTTGTTTTGTTTTTGGGGTCACACCCAGCAATGCTCAGGGGTTACTCCTGGCTCTGCACTCAGGAATCACTTCGGGGATGCTCAGGGGACCCGATGGGATGCTGGGGATCGAACCTGGGTTGGCCGTGTACAAGGCAAACGCCCTTCCCGCTGTGCTATCTCTCCAGCCCTTTTTTCCCCTCTTTACTTTGCGAATTTTGTTTTTGGCGGGGTGGGTTTTTGTTTTTGGGTCCCACCCAGCAGTGCTCAGGGCGGACTCCTGGCTCTGTGCGCAGGGGGTGACTCTTGGCAGGCTCAGGAGACCAGACGGGGTGCCGGGGATCAAAGCCGGTTGATGGTGCCCACCGCGCCGTGTTCTCGCTGAGACCCCCCGACTTCTGACACCGTTTCTTTTTTTTTCTTTTTGGGTCACACTCAGCGATGCTCAGGGGTTCCTCCTGGCTCTGCACTCAGGAATTACTCCTGGCGGTGCTTGGGGGACCATATGGGATGCTGGGGATCGAACTCAGGTCAGCCGCCTGCAAGGCAAACGCCCTACCCGCTGTGCTATCGCTCCGGCCCCTGGGCATAATAACCGCTGGTGGGCAAGTGGGAAGCGAAGGCTGGATCAGTTTGGCCGGGGATTTATTTATTTGCTTTTTGGGTCACACCTGGCGATGCTCAGGGGTTGCTCCTGGCTCTGCACTCGGGAGTTACTCCTGGCGGTGCTCAGGGGACCATATGGGATGCTGGGAATCGAACCCGGGTCGGCCACGTGCAAGGCAAACGCCCTACCCGCTGTGCTGTCTCTCCTGCTGTCTCTCCAGCCCCTTGGCCGGGAATTTAAACGGAAACCCCGAGGCCGCATCTGTCCTCACGCTGATGCGTGTCGTCCTGACCCCAGCACGGGGCGGGACCCTCGGGGACCCTCGGGCCGGCGCCGAGGCGGGAAACTTACCGAACTCTTCTCACCGTCTCCTCGAATCTTGAGCATCACGTACAGCGAAATCACAAACAAGATCCACAGCCACTTGTTCACCAGCCAGCTCTGGGCGTGGTCCGGCAGGCTCTGGCGGGTGCGGAAGTGGCCCCCGCACGGCACCTTCCCCTGCGGCTCTTTCCTCTCCCTCAGGGAGGAGAACATGAAGGCGCAGCCGCCGGCGAGGCACAGGGAGAGGCCCAGGAGCCGCGTGAGCGTCCGCATGCTGAGCTGGGCCCGGGCATCCCGTGGAACATCACGAGTGGCCCTGGCCTGGCCGGGAGGGGCTGGCCAGGCTGGGCCGGCGGTGATGTCACAGAGGCCTGGCCATTGTGATGACCTGGACTGGGGAGAAGGAGGCGCCCAGGGGTCCTTCCGAGGGGCCAAAGGTCAGGGGGGCATTTCCCACGGCAGGGAATGGGAGGGCACCACCTCCTGGCTACAATGTTGGAGAACCCAGAGGTGCTCAGGGGAGCACGTGGAGCTGGGGATGGAAGCCGGGTCTCCTCCCTGCAGGGCCTGTGCTCCAGGTCTTCGCACGTTTTCTCTGCACCCCCCTTCCAGATCATTCTTATGCCCTGGGAGAACCCAGCACGCCTTGTCTTCTCTTTTTTTTCTTTTTTGGCCACACCCAGCGATGCTCAGGGATTCCTTCCGGCTCTGCACTCAGGAATCACTCCTGGCGGTGCTTGGGGGACCCTACGGGATGCTGGGAATCGAACCCCAGTCGGCCACGTGCAGGGCAAACGCCCTCCCTGTTGTCCTGCCACTCAGCCCTGGAAACGGTCAACATTCGTTTTCAGCACCCAGGAGATCCGTCATCAGTGCGTTTGAATTTTTTAGTTTTTGGCTTTTTGGGTCACACCCGTCGATTCTCAGGGTTTACTCCTGGCTCTGCACTCAGGAATCACTCCTGGTGGGCTTGGGGGACCCTATGGGATGCCAGGGATCAAACCTGGGCTGATTGGGTGCGAGACCAACACCCTCCCCGCTGGACTATGGCTCTGGCCCCGACGTCTGAATTTTAGACCTGTCTTGTTATCTCTAGATACCTGGGGTCGCACAAAACTTTCTCTGCTGAAAGGGGCTGCGAGTGGAACGGAGCTCAGGAGCCTGTTCTGGGCGGTCAGGGCTGGCTGGGAGTGGACATCTGGGCCTGGTGGAGGCCCCAGCCAGGCTGAGCCGAAGGCCTCCCGGCCGCTCCTCCAGACCCACCCCAGGGCGGAAGCTGGCATCGCCACCAGGCAAGTTCATGGGCAGCAGCAAGTGCCCATGGGACAGCAGACACGCAGCACGTGCCCCGGGGCGCGGTCAGCTGCCCTCAGCGGGGGACACGTCCTGTCCAGTGCCTGGGGCTTCGCTGGGGCCACACTGCCCGGCTCCCCTCGCAGGTCTGCCCCCCCCCCACTGGGTTCCAGTCGGGGAGCAAGGCAAGAAGGGGTCACGTGAGTGAGGACACGTCTGGATGAGCACTGGGGAGGTAGCCTGTGGCCTGTGCTGTGACCGTGACACTGAGGCCCCTGGAACCGCTCACAGGGAAAACCCGTCAGCTCCAACCCAGCGGCAAGACGGAGCTGATGATCAGCCCCGGGGAAGGAGGTCGGGGGAATGGTGCCCCCCAGGGGCTCAGGGGACTGAGGGGACCAGCACCTGCTGAAGAGGGCGGCGGGGTTGGAGAGATGGGACAGCGGGTGACCGGGCAGGACGCCTGACCCCACGTAAGGCCCCGAGCCCTGCCAGACGAGAGTGATCTCAGCAGTGACGGGAGGAAGCCCGGGCACCGCCGGGTGTGGCCCCCACACTCAGGAAAGGAGGTGCATGAGCAGACACCCTCGGTCCACGGGCCGAGTGGGCAAGGGGTGGCCCTGGAAGCTGCTGGCCCGACGGGCCTCACCGTCTTCCTACCCTGGAGGGTCTCACCGACCCTCCTACCCCCTGGCCACAGCTGCTGGCCCGGCGGACCTCGTGTCCTGCTCACCAGGCTCAGGACGCACTGGCCACAGCCTCCCCCCTAGCGGGAACGGGGTTCGAGCCTGCTGGGTCCAGGAAGGGTGTCGGGACCTGTCTGACCTTGGCAGGGGCGGGGGGTGTTGAGCGCCGCATCGCATCTGTGCCGGGAGCCCCGCCCACCCCCCACGGTTCCCTTCAGAGAACGATTCCAAGGCAGAGTGAGGCAGAGCTGCTTTAATGAACGCCGTCTCCTACCCCCCACGGGAAGGGGCGCCTCCCAGGTTCCCCCGCTCTGGGGAGGGGAGACGGGCGGGGTTGTCTCGGGTGGGCGCTCAGAAGCAGTAGGACGTGTGGGTGACCCAGTGGGCCGCCGCCTCCTTGGGGCGCTTGGCGGAGCTGTGGGTGGTGAAGAGGGACTTGTAGGCCTCCGATTCCTCGCTCTCGGCGATGGAGCGCTTGGGGGCGGCACGCTCGGCCTTGCCCGCCTTCCCCGCGGGGGCCCCGCTGGTGGCTGGGAAAAGGGAAAAGAAGGAACGGTGGGGCCGGAGCTGAGGCACCGGAGGAGAGGGCGTGGCACGCTCTGAGCCGGACGCTACCCTGTCCTGGGCAGCGGCGAGCCGGCCAGCCGGGCCCACCCCGGAGGCCGGGGGCCTGCGCCCAAGGACGGGTGCTGGGTGCTGAGGAGCCCAGGCAGGAGGGGGCCTGCGCTGGAAGACAGGGGTGCTGGGTGCTGAGTGGCCCGGCCCCGAGCCGCCCTCCATCACAGCCCGTGCTACTGTGTCTTTTCCAGTGGTGAAGAAGAAATGATCCCAAAGGCCACGAAGCAGCTCTTCTTGCCCAGCCGGGAGGCAGGCGGGGGACAGGCCAGCTCGGGCAGCACACACATGGGTGGGTCACCCGCTGGGCCTGCGCATCCCCTCCCCGTGCCCCGCGTCCTACCTGCAGCTCTGGCCGCGGCGTGCGCCGACTTCTCTCTGGGTTCCGCGTCGGGCGCCTCGGGCTTCCCCGCCTTCACTCTGGACGGTCCTGGGGCCTCTGCAAGACACCAAGCCGGCTGCAGGCGCCCGGCCCCGGCCGGCGGGAGTGGGAAGCAGCCCCGAGGGTCAGCCCCGTCTTACCTTCACCGTCGGGGCAGGACACGGACTCGGCCGCTTTGGGCTTCTTTGCTTTCTGTGAAGACACGGGAGGCGGGCTTGGAGGCGGCGTCCGGGGGATGGAGGGGTATCTGGCGGGGTCAGGGGGGCTCACTCCGACCCGCGTCCTCTGCACTTTGCTCCGAGGAGAACGTGTCCAAAGCTCCCACTTAGTTCCCCGAACAGGCCCCCGGATTTCCCCAAGCACAGGCAGCCGCTGTCTGGCTCCGCAAAGCTGAGCCCCAGGGCCCCCCGGGCTCTGAGGCTTCTGTAAAGGGCACTTCGCCGACTGCCCAGACGCTGGGCTGCCCTCCGGAGCACTAGGACTCTGCCACTCATGGTGCTGTGGCCAGAAAGGCTCGAAGTGGGGCTGGGATGTGCTCTGAGGCCAAGCCCTGGCACCAGAGTGAAGCTCTTTTTATTGCGGGGCTGTGTGTGTGTGTGGGGGGAGTCCCAGCCAGCCACGCTCAGGGTTGGCTCCTGGCCGCGCTCAGGGGACCCTAAGGGATGCCGGGGATTGAACCTGGGTCGGCCGCGTGCAGAGTAACAGCCCTACCCGCTGGACTGTCTTTCCAGCCTCAAGATAAAAAATTCTTATATGTACTTTTTCAAATGAGAGTGTTCTAGAATCAGCCGTCAGAGTTGGGGGGCTGGGAAAGGAGCCCCGGCCAGCCACGCGTGAGGCCCACATCCTGCCCGCTGTGCTGTCTGTCCTCAGCCCCTGGTTAGTTGGTTTGGTTCTGGGTCACACCCGACAGTGCTCGGGGCTTAGGCTGTGTGCTCAGGGGTGTGAGGCTTGAACCCAGGTCAGCTGCATGCAAGGCAAAGGCAAGTGGGCTGTGCACTGTACTCTGGCACCACCCCAGCTGACTCCTGGCTCTGCACTCAGGAATCACTCCTGCTGGTGCTCGGGGGACCCTATGGGATGCCAGGGATTGAACCCAGGCAAACGCCCTCCCTGCTGTGCTATCGCTCTGGCTCTGCGGGAAGCATTTCTGACAAGGGACAGTTGGAGCCGTACTCGTCTGCCGTCACTGCTGAATCTGTCAAGCTCAGGTTCTAGAAAAGCACGGAAAAGTGTGTCTGCTCACGCAGAGAAATGACTTTCAAGATGCGGTCTACCGAGCATCCAAAAGGGGGCGCCCAAGACACTCGGTGCCGTCACTGGCAGAGACCCCAGGGGTGGGCCTGGGCCCCTGATCTGAGATGCGCCACGCAGCACAAACCTGCGTGAGCACCCGGGCCCGTCTCCCGCCTCTGCGACAGGCGCGGTCTCCACGGGGCACGAGGGTGGCAGGACCCCGGCCCGTCTCCAGCCGTACGGGGGAAATATTTTGATCTCCTGGTAGCAGTAGCTAAGAGGCATTCCCAGAAGCTCGGGCGAGGCCGTGGCGGGGAGGGCACGTGAGCTGGTTCCCCGGGGACGGGACGGGACGGTTCGGCAGGAAGCCTGGGGCCCCGCGCGAAGCCGTTACTGGCCACGGAGGCTGCGCTCCAGGCATTTCCTCGATACCGCGCTCTCCCTCTCCTGCCTTCCTAGAACCCGGTGCACACGGCCAGGGTGACAACCGTCCTTTGTCAGAAACACCTGCTTGGGGCGGGTGCCACGCGAGAGAGGGCAGGGCACTCGCCTTGCACGCAGCCGACCCGGGTTCGATCCCTGGTACCCCCTATGGTCCCAGGAGCTCTCCCAGAGTGATCCCTGAGCACAACGGGCGTGGTCTAGTGGGCGGAGTGTTTACCTCGCAGGAGACCAAGCTGTGTTGGACCCCCAGAGCCCCACAAAGCCCCTGAAGCCTGCCAGGGAAGAGCCCTGAGCACAGCTGGGGTGGCCCCCAAAACCAACCAACAAACCGAACAAAAATCCAAACCTCACGCTTCTTGCTGTGTCTCAGCAATTTAGAAAATGACATAAATTTGCCCCTTTTTTGTTTGTTTTGGCCATACCTGAGCACTGCTCAGGGATGAGTCCTGGCTCTGTGCTCAGGGATCACTTCTGGCGGGGCGCAGGGGACCCGAGGGGGGTGCCGGGAATCGAACCCAGGTCGGCCAGGTGCAAAGTCAGTGCCTTCCCCGCTGGACGTTCATTCCAGCCCCAGACAGGAATTTGCTTTTGAACCAGATCCATGTAAGACTCTCAAAGAGCCAAGTGGCTCTCTAAATACGTCATGAGCACTGGATGTATCAGCGGCTTCACAGAATACTTCTGGCTTTTTCCATCCAGGCAGAGTGCGGCTTATGAATTGTATCATCACGGAGCTATTAGGAGAATGTCTAGGGCCTGGGGTGAAACCGAGATGCTGGCATCAGATGACAAAACTCCTTGTCTAGAGAGCCAAGTACACAGACAGCTCAGAGAGGCGCCTGCCTGCGGCTGTTTCTGGGCATTCTGGCCTGAGCACCGGCTTCAGAGCACAAGGCTGGGCTCTGGTCTCTCTGGCCTTGTGGAGCTCCAGGCCCGCCTGAGTTCCCCCCTGCCACTAGCTGGATGCGGGGGGGAGGTGTGTGTGTGTGTGTGTGTGTGTTTTGTCTTGCTGGGACACACCTGGTGGGCTCGGGGGACCATGTGGGGTGCCGGGGGTGAGCCCAGGTCAGGGGCTCCCCGCTCGTCTGATGATCTGCCCAGAGCGTGCCCAGAGGCCTCCTGCCCTCACCTTGCCCAGCTTGGCTCGCTGCCTCCGGGCCTCCATCCTCTGCCTGAGGGCCTCCACGTCCTCCTTGGAGCCGTTGAGCACGACCACGTCCTTGTCCTGGAAGGCGGCTCCGCACTGCGGGGAGAGGTGGTCAATGTAGGAGGACGGCCGGCCCGGGCCTAAAGTGGGGTCCCCCTCCCTCCCCAACACGCCTGCTCAGACAGATGCTCCCTCGGAGGCCAGACACTGACAGAGCTGAGAAGGGGGAGCTTGGTGGGAGAGTGCCGGGCAGGGGCTGCACCCCCCCCCCCAACGTCAAATGAAGGGGATACAGCTCACTCTTGCCCCGGGAATCCAACAGCCCGACTGCAGGCCTCTCCCACTGCCCCGTGGGCAAGTCTCAGAGTCTCAGAGGTGGCCACAGCTGGCCTGTAGGTGCCCGGGCTGAGCCCTGGGAGCCAGACGCCCCGCGGCCTGGAAAACGCTTCACTCTCAATTGAGAAAGAGGGTAGAGCACCCGTCTGTCCCCGAGGCGCGGTGTCCGTCTGTCCCCATGGCTGTGGTGTCCATCTGTCTTGTAGCCCGGTGTCTGTCCCTGTGCTCCTGTCTGTCCATGTGCCCCGTGTCTATCTGGGTGGCAGGAGCAACAGAGTCGGGGCTGCCACGCCAAACCTCAGACTCACGTATTATGTCATTTCCTCCTGACGGCGTTTTTCAGCCTGGTCCCTGGGGGCTGGGTTGGTGCTGACCCCAGACCCCACCCCAAGTGACCGGTCCCTCCCGGGACCACAGTGCCTGTTTCCTGGGGGCCTCAGCGCACGCTGCCAGGAACCAGATTGCTCAGGAGCATGGGGGGGGGGGGGTTAGGGGGGTTGGCACAGGCCCTGTCATGCTAGGAGGGGTCGAGCAGGCAGCTCCCGAGACATCCAACCTGCACCCACGTCCTGGCCCGAGGAGGATGCGCGTGGGCGCGTGTGCCCGGCACTGGGCCCCCTCCCCCCCACACCGAAGGGTATGAGGATGGACGGGGGACCTGGCTGTGCAGCCCACCCTGGCTGAGGGACCGCGCCTTCAGGGGCCTCCACTGTGCTGGCCCCGCTGTCCGAATGGACACACTGGGAAGGGCTGGTCACAGCAGCAGCTACTGGCCACGGCATGGCCAGGGCAGCCCCTTTCTGTGGCGAGTGATGTGAGCATCCCCCGCGTGGGCTCATCACCTTGGACCCGCCGCTGTTCTCTCGGGATGTCTGGGGTCCCCCTGACAAGTACCAACAAAGACCCCTTTTGTTTTGGGGTCACACTGGGCTGTGTCCGGGGCCAGAGCTTGAATCCCGGGCACCTGGTTGCCCCCACCGTGCCATCTTACCAGCCCTGGACAACCCGACAATGCGCTAGGGGCAGGAGGAGGAAGGGAGGCGGGAGAGAGGAGGGAGAGAGGGAGAGGGCAGAGAAGGCAGGAGGGCAGAGGGAGGCAGTGTCCCAGGGGCGGGGCCCGCAGGGCCTCACCCTGGGTGGAGCTGGGGGCGGGCGGCCGTCCAGGGAGCCGGGAGCGGGCTCCGAGCACTCGGCTGCGGCTCTCCCAGCACCTGAGGCACAGCCTGCCCGACCAGGCGACCAGGCGGCGGTTCCGTCCCCGGGGACAGGGCGCTGCTGGGTGACAGAACCTGCCCACAGCTCTGCCCACGTGACGGGCACCTGCGCCTCCGGGAGCAGCAGGGAAGAGCCGGCAGGGCCCTCGGCCGCCTCTCCCGCCAGGAACCCGGGGACAAGGGCTTGGTAAGTGCCGGGCTCTGGGGGAATCCCGGGCAGGGTTCAGAGGCGGCATGCCAGGTGTCGGGGGGACATGACTGGCCAGGGGTGCCAGGGCCAGACCCCAGGGCCACCTGCTGTGCTCCCAGGCCCAGCCTAAGGTCCTAAATGCCTCCACAGTGAGCATCTTTCTCTCTCTCACAAATGCTTTTCTCTTCTGTCAAAGGAAACACAAACAGAATACCACAAGCTCCGTGAGAGCCACGTCTTTGCGTTTAGAAAACCGGGGCTTGGCACGCGCGGGACACGGGGACGCAGCTCAGGGCAAGGCCAAGCCCAGTTCTTTCATGTGCTTTTTTTTTTCTTTCATGAGGGCTGGAGTGATAGCACAGTGGGTAGGGCGTTCGCCTTACAAGCGGCTAACATGGCCGACCCGAGTTCGATTCCTCCGCCCCTCTCGGAGAGCCCGGCAAGCTACCGAGAGTATTCGATATGCCAGACACAGTAACAACAAAGTCTCCAATGGAGACGTTACTGGGCCCGCTCGAGCAAATCGACGATCAACGGGAGGGCCTTTACCTTTTACCTTTTCATGTGCTTTGGGGCCACCTCTGGTGGTGCTCGATGCTCAGTGCTCGGGCGCCTGGGCCCAGGTCTCTCCTGGGTCCCAAATGGAGGAGGAGTCTGTGTGGCTCTCGGGCCGGCCCGAAAAGGGATCTCCTCTCTGCAGGCCCAAGTGGCCGGAGAGATGCCCACGCTCTCATCGCGATGGTACAGACAGACGGGGTCAGTGTCGGGGCTCAAGCCCGGCAACCCTCCTGAGGGACAGCAGCTGCGGGGGGACGCTGATTTGGGGGTGCTGCAAACAGCTTTCTGCACTTTCACTGCTGTGGGTGAAGGCATTCAGGGCGGCCCGGGGGCACAGACCTCAGGCTCTCCAGGCCGGGAGTTGCAGCGCCCCAGGATTCGCTCACGCCGCACCATGGCAGCACACTTCCTGGGAACCCCGAGTTGCCCGCTCCCCCAGGAGGCAGGGCCCCTCGCCCACCCCGTCTGCCCAGAGAACGGTCATTCTCACCCACCCTGGACGCCAGCCTGGAGCGGCCCGCTCGTGGACCAGGCAAAAGCCCACCTCCGTGCCCAGGAGCAAGCGAGAGGGTCCCAGCCAGCTAACCGAGAGTGGACGCCACACCCTTCTTGAAACGGGAAACCTCGAGAAAGTTTCCCTGGCGTAGACACCGTCTTGTTTAATCTGGGTGAACGAACGGCAGTGCTCCGAGATGTTAGTGCTGTAGCATTGGGCAAAGTATTTCGAGTTCATCTCGATTTGTTCTGGGACCACACCCCGAACTCAAGGAAGCCCTGAGTAAGCGCAGGGAACACCCCTGGGGGGGGGGGGGGGGCTCAGCAGCTCCTGTGGGGTCCTGGGGGTAGAACCTGGTCGGCTGCGTGCATGGCCTGTGTCCTACCCACTGAGCTCTCCGGGCACATTAAGTTCATCTTTAAAGATGATCATTATTATTATTATTATTTGCGTTCTGGGTCACACCTGGGGATGCTCAGGGGTTTCTCCTGGCTCTGCACTCAGGAATTACTCCTGGCAGTGCTCAGGGGACCCTATGGGATGCTGGGAATTGAACCAGGGTTGGCCCTGTGCAAGGCAAACGCCCTGCCCTCTGGACTACTGCTCCAGTTCTGATCATTCATTTTTTACCCAGTAGAATTACTGGGTTTTTGTTTGTTTGTTTGTTTTTTAAAGATTCAGCAGAAAGTCATTTAGGTTTTCTGTGGGGCTACACCCGGTGGTGCTCACAGCTTACTCTTGGTTCTGCACTCAGAGGTCACTCCTGGCTTACCTGGGCAACCCCATGGGGTGCCGAGGATCGAACCCCGGCCGGCCGTGCGCAAGGCAAGCCGTACTCTTGATCCAGCCAAACATCATTCAGATTTATTCACTGTCATCACTCTCCCCCCGCCAGAAGTCTTTATGTGAGTTTGAGTCCATGTTAACACATTAAAAACGACCCCTGTAAGCGAGACATCTGGTGTGAGACGACCCAGAGACCCCTAAGCCTGCTCCCGATCCCCTCTGAGTGTTCAGGGATGGGGGAGAACGCAGGGGCAGCAACAGGAAGGGAAACGTCCCCGCCTCAAGTCCTCAAATGACCCATTGGACAAAGAAGTGCCAGGGGCAGCAACGCCACTCTGAGAGCTGTCCCGGAGGCCTCCCCGCCCCGGCAGCCTGGCTGGAGGCCGTTTCAGGCTGTCCCATGTTACTGGGTGCTGTCTCACAACTCTCCCTGGACTGCCCCAGTACCACCCTCTGGCCCAGCGATGGTTGAATGGTTCTTCGGTTACAGAAGGCCACAGGGCCGGGGAGTTCGCTTGCCTGGCACGAGGCTGACCTGGGTTCAATCCCCGGCATCCCATATGGTTTCCTGGGCACCAGCAGGAGGGATCCCTGAGTGCAGAGCTGGGCATCGCTGTGTGTTACCCAAGAACAAGCAAATAAACATACACGAGGCCCTGGGGAAATAAGGGAGGCGCGGGGAAAGCCTCCACGTGCCCTCCCACCAGGAGAGTGACCATTCTCCACTGTCTGCGGCCTCAGAGACAGGAACGCCGCCAGCCGCAGCTCCTTCCTATAGTAACTCAAATAAGCCTTTTCCTGGTGCAGAGCGAAGGTTCAAAACCTGTTAGTCTCTTTATTTTTTTTTGGGGGGGGGCCACACCCAATGTGAAACCCAGGTCAGCTGTGCGCGCCTGCCTGCTGTGCTCTCCCTAGAGACCCCCCGCTCCGCTCCTGTGAGATCGCACCATTTTTGGGGGCCACGCCTAGTGGTGCTCTGGGCTGACTCCTGGCTCTGCCTCAGGAATCACCCCCGCAGTGCTCGGGGGACCCTGTGAGATGGCGGGGACCGAACCCGGCTGGCCGCGTGTGAGGCAAGCGCCCTCCCCGCTGTGCTCGCGGTAGCCTCAGACCCTGCCTGGACAGGCTGCATGCGGCCACACCTGGAGAGTGGACAGGAGGGAGGGCGGGCGTCTGCCCGGAGGACACGAGGAAGGCGGAGGGTGGCCCAAGGGGGAGGCAGCCGCCACTGACCCCCTCAGCTGTGGGAGGAGCAGGTGAGCCGAGAGTGGGGCCTGGCCCGCGCGTACGTCTAACTTCAAATAAACTTATGCCCGAGGATTCAACTGGGTGGCTAGGAGCACTGCACTCGGGGCAGCCCGGCCTGCCTGACCCCGCTGTGCATGAGTGTGTATGGGGGGAGAGATCACGCGTGGGATGTGCCTCCCTTTAATCATGAGGACCCCCTGGCTCGCTCCTGAGCCCCCCAGCCCGCCACCACGGAGGGTTGACAGCTCCATCAAGCGATGGGGGGGGGGGGGTGGAGCCCAGGCCAGCTGCATTCAGGGCAGGCCCCCCGCCCACTCACCCGCTTTCGCCCCTTCCTGGAGGGGGGCACTGGGGACCCAGGCCTCCAGTCCAGCCTCTGCGCCATCTCTCGGGCCCTAAGGGCACCCTGGCGTGAGGAGGCTGTGGGTGAAGGGGTTAAGGCTGCACTCGGAGAGCCCAGCTGGGTGCCAGGCGCTGGGTGTGGCCCAATCCGGAAGCGGCCACTTCAGGCTGACGGGCCCAGGTCTGCCCGAACCCCAGGCTCACTGCACACGGCCCTGAGCACCCCCACGCCAGAAACAAGGGCAGACAGACAGACCAGGCACAGTCAGACGGAACCCCATCACCGCAGCACCGGGACAGCGGGGAGGGCGCCCACACGGTCTCCTGGGCACCCCCCGGAGTGATTCCTGAAGGCCGAGCCCGGAGTCAGCTCTGAGTACAGCCAGGAACCCCAAACCCAACACCCCCACCCCCAAAAGGAACTCAAGCGGGGGGGCATTTTCAGGCTTGTTGTGTCCAGGGTCCCTTCGAGGTCACCCACGTGCAGGGACACAGTCAAGCAGCCGGGTCATGGACATAGTTAGGCAGGAGGGGGACATGACTGGGACAGGCCACGCGCCCTCGCGACCCCCTGCCCCCACGGGCACCTCCATCCATCCTGCGCTGTCCTTTCAGGGACCCCAGAGGGGACCATCTCTGGCCATGGGAAGCGGGCGGCCGTCCACGTTCCGGCCATGAGCCAGCGGCGGGCCACCAAGATGGGGCTGGTGGTGGGCACGGCCCTCTGTGTCTCGCTCTTCCTCTACCTGCGGACCCCCGAGGAAGCCGAGCGGGCGCCCCCGCCCCCCGCCGTGGCAGACTGCGGCTTCTACCCCGACGAGCTGTGCACGGCCCTGCTGGCGGGCAAGGGGGCGGCGCCCCAGGTGGCCCGGTTCTGCCAGGGCCCGCCCGGGGCGGACGTCGCCAGCCACCTGCGGGGCCCGGGGAACTGCTCACGGCTCTCGCGGGGGCTGCGCTTCATCACGGTGCCCCTGTCGGCCGAGGAGGGCAACTTCTCCCTGGCGTACATCGTCAGGGCGCCGCGGGAGCTGACCGTGTTGGTGCGGCTGCTCCGGGCCGTGTATGCTCCGCAGAACTTGTACTGCGTCCACGTGGATGAGGACGCGCCCGCCAAGTACCGGGTGGCCCTGCAGACCCTGGCCGGCTGCCTGGAAAACGTCTTCCTGTCGCCGAGGAGCGGGGCGGCGGCATCCCCCGGCCCGGCGCGCTTGCAGGCCGAGCTGGACTGCATGCGGGAGCTGGTGGGCTCCAGGGTGGGCTGGAGCTACGCCCTCAACCTCTGCGCCGAGGACTTCCCGCTCAGGACCAACCGCGAGATCATCCGCTACCTCCGGAGCGAGTGGAACGACAAGAACATCACGCCGGGGGCGCTCCAGCCGCCCCCCGCCGAGAACAACGGGAGCCAGGCCGAGGCGGCGCCGGGGGGCAGCGTCTACGCGCCCCCCAACGTGGGCTTCTGGGTCGAGCCGCCCCACAACCTGACCATCTACTTCGGGAGCGCCAACTATGTCCTCACGAGGAAGTTCGTGGAGTTCGTGCTGACGGACCCCCGTGCCCGAGACATGCTGCAGTGGGCCAGACACGTCCACAACCCAGAGCGCCACTACTGGGTGACCCTGAACCGCCTGAGAGGTAAGAGCAGGCCAGGGGGCAGGGGGCAGGGCCTGTCCCCCGACCCCCTTGGCTCCGACTGTGTCCTCTCCAGAGCCAGGTGTCTGCGTTTTACATCTGCTTTTCTTTTTTTTTTTTTTTTGGTCACACCCACTGATGCTCGGGTTCCTCCTTCCTGGCTCTACACTCAGGAATCACTCCTGGCCGTGTTCAGGGGACCCTATGGGAGGCAGGGATGGAACCCGGGTCGGCCACTCCAGGCCCTACATCTGCTTTTTACACAGAAAACATGCCCGAAATCCTCAGGAAGTCCCTTTCCTCTCCCAGACTGTACTGGTCGCTGGGGTGCCCTCATGCGGGCCCTTTAGGGGCAGGGAAACTAGTCTCGGGCAGACTGACGCTTGTTGGGGTCTGGGAGGCAGGTACCAGCCCCACCCGCATCCCGGGAACCAGGAGCCGCACCGGAAACCCGACTTCCAATCACCCGCACTGGGTGGTTTTTGTCTTTTATTCCTGTTTCTGGGCCATCCCTGGGGAGGCTCAGGGCTTCCCCGTGGCTCTGCGTCAGGAATCACTCCGGGTGGGGCTCGGGGGACCAGATGGGGTGCAGGGATTGGAACCGAGTTGGCCGCAAGCAAGGCAAACGTTCTCCCACGCCCCCCCCCCCCCCCCCCCCGCATGCTGTCTTCTCGCTCGGCCCCTTACACTGTGTTTTTCTGCATCGGAGCATGCACCACGCCAAGCGCACACACGAGTTGGCCACCGGCAGGGCAGGGGTGCAGCGGGCGCCCCTCCTCCACTCCCGAAGAGACACGTGGTCCCCAACACCCAGAGTGACCCTGAGCTCCGGGCTGAGAGCAGCCTAGGCCCGCCGGGTGTGGTCCCCACACACTAACCCGCAAAGAGCAGAGCTGGAGATGCCGGCCCAGGCCGCGGCTGGAGGCCGGGCGACCCCCAAGTTACCTCGTGTCTTTGTTTTGGGGGTGTTTAGGGGGTGGGGGTCACCCCTGCAGTTCCCGGGGGACCCGGTGGAGGTGGGGAGGGGCCTCGGGCTCCTGCGTGCTCCTGGCGTCCCCGCCGCTGCCCGCGGTGTCCACTCTGTTTCCCCAGATGCTCCGGGCGCCACCCCTGATGCCGGCTGGGAGGGCAACGTTCGAGCCACCAAGTGGAAAGGCCAGGAGGGCCGCGGCCACAGCGGGTGCAAAGGTGAGCGTGCACCCAGCCACACTCCCAGCTCACACGCACGTCTGGATGGGGAGGAATGCGGTGTGCAGACAGCACCTGGGGGGGGGGGGGGGGGCGGGGACGGTCCAGGGTTCAGGAGCCTGTCTTGGACTGGGCACTGCACACGGTCCCGAGCACGGCTGGAAGGGCCTCATCTCCCATCCCCCGGGACCACCAGGCCTGTCCCTTCTGCCTGGCCGCCTGCAGGGCACACCCCAGACCCAGAGCTGATTTCCATAGCACGGCCTCAGGCAGACCAAGCAACTTGGATTTGCAAATGAACCATAAACAAACCGGGTTCCACGGGCTGCCGGGTGGGAGGCAGAGGAAGGTCACGCAGAGTGGGCCAGCCCTGCCATTCTCCGGGCAGGACAGGCCCAGGACAGAGGGGCTGGGAGAAATTTCTAGTAGATTTTTTTATTTTTGTTGTTTGGGTCACACACACACACACCCAGTCATGCGCAGGGCTCACTCCTAGCGACCCCTGTGGGCTGCAGGGACCGGGCCGGGCCACTCGGGAAAAGCACCCTGCGGGCCGTACGTCACTCCAGCCCATGTGTTTAAGTAGCGCTGAATCAGGGGCCGGCCACCCGCTGAGCAGGTGCCAGCTGGGCGCCAGGCCAGCACCAGGCCTGGTGGCCGGGAGGAGAGTGCTGGGCAGGTGACGCTCAGTCCCCGTATCCCGGCCCCCCTACCCCCTCCCCCCCTCAGTGTCGTCGCCCACCCCCGAGGGAGGGCCTCCAATGCCTGCTCTGTGTCACCCGGGCATTCGTGGAAGGCTGCCCCACCCCCGCTGTCACCCGCACCCCAAGGCCGCCCCACCCCGGCCCTTTCCTGGAGGCAGCTGTGTGCTCAAGCCATGCAGGCTCTCAGTGTTCAGTCACTGGAGCCAGTGTCGAAACTTCTGGGCTGGCCCCGCGGGAGCTGGTGCCCACAGCTTCAAACTGGCCACGCGCGGCTCTGCTGAGAGTCACCGACCACCGCTGAGGAAAGCCCCCTCCTGGCCACCCCTCACCCCTCCGCAGAGCCCATAGGCGACGGGGCTGAGCTTCTGCAAACCACCCCAGCCCTTAGTGTACACCCACAATCCAGGGGCCCGCAGGGTCCACACGCACCACAGCAGGTAAGGGACTGCCCACCGCAGCGGGCACACGAGGCCGCCCCTCCCAGTGAGGTCACTCCCTAAACTTCTGCCACGTTCACCTGGGACAGCCTCTGTGCCGGGAGGGGACCGAGGGCAGGGAAAAGGAACACTTCCCTTTCTTTCCCCTTGGTCTTCTGGGGACACTCCCAGCAGCGCTCAGCACTTACTCCCGGCTTGGTGCTCAGGGGACCAGATCGGGGTCGGCCACATGCAGGGAAAGCGCCCTCCACGCCGCCCTGTCCTTCGGGCACCGAGACCCCTCCGCAGGCCCACGTCAGCAGCAGGACTGGCCTGAGCCTGGCAGAGGCCCCTGGGGAGGCAGAGCTGGGGCCCCTCGGGCACCTGCAGGGCGCGAGTTGAGGGCGGGCATCTCTCTGCAGGCCGCTACGTCCAGGACCGCTGCGTGTACGGGCTGGGGGACCTGCCCTGGATCGTCCAAGCGCCTTCCTTGTTCGCCAACAAGTTTGAGCCCTCGGAGGACCCCCTGGTGGTGACATGCCTGGAGAGGTGGCACAGGAGGCGCGTGCTGGGGGGCGCCGAGGTGCCCCTGGAGCCACACTGGCACTTCCAAGCCCAGACGCACTTCAACGGGGATCTGAGCGGCTGAGCGGGTGGCCGGAGGCGTCGCCCGCTTGGGGGCATTTCACCTGAAGGACGGGGCTCAGGAACCCCCGACATAGGCATGTCCTCAAATGCTCTCAGGAACGCTGGCACCGACTGGGCCTCTGTCACAGCGTGGGGAGAGTCTGAGGGGCCTCTGCTGAGATCCGGATCCCACACTGGGCGCGGGTGCGAGCGCCAGGAAGAAGGGGCCCTGCGAGCACTGGTCCCCTGAGCTGCTTGTTTCTTTCTGGGCCGAGGCCTTACTCCTGACTCTCTGCTCAGGGCCCGCTCAGGGCGCGGCTCCGAGGGCCACAGACGGTGCCAGGGACCCAAGCCGGGCCGGTCACGTGCAAGACAAAGGCCCGACGTGCTGTCCTATCCCCCTCGCCCCAACCCCCGGGGAGATTCACGGCGCCTCCCGGGGCCCGGAGCGCTGCCAGGTGTGACCCCAAACCCAAAGGAGAAGAAACGAAATGTGGAACGCAGGACGGGGTCAGAGACGCAGCCCAGGCCAGAAGCCTGTGCTCTGCATGTGTGAGGCCCTGCCTTTCGCCCTGGCAAGGTACGCTCGAGAAGTGCTTATGGCAGACCCCACACACAATAAATATGAAAATCGCACTGAAATTTTGCTTTGGTCTTTGGGGAACCATACGAACGTGGTCCCGGGCCCTGGACGCAGGTTGGCCATGTGCAAGGCAAGCGCCAGACCCGCTGTTCTCTCTCTAGCTGCCAACGAGTGTTTTCGAGTCACGTGAAACACAGCCTGTGTTGGTCTTACTCCATTCTCCATCCCTCAGGTCACTCCAGCGCGCATCTCCCTCAGGTCGCCCTAGTGAGCATCTCACGCCGGACGTGACGAGCCACGACAGGCCACTGATCTGGTCCACGCTTCAGAGGCAACCAAGGACGCGGGAATAACGGAAGCGACGGGCGAGCGTCGCCAACTCACCGTGTGGCAGACTTCCGCCTTGATCTCCTTCAAGGCTCGCTCGGAAAACACGCAACCGCAGCCCCGCAGGAAGCAAAACCTGGAGGGAGGACGCAACGGAGAGACGGATGGAGACGTCACCTGCGATCGGTCACCCGGATCCACCGACACGTGCAGGGTGTACAGAAGGCCAAGAACCACGAAGAGGAAAGAAAACCGTGACACCCATTCCCGTAGGAAAGATCACTCAAATAATACGCTCAAAATCGATAAATCGGACCCCCACACGCAGGCCAATGTCCAGTCCCAGCCCTCACAGTAACGCTCGGGAAGGGCTGGCGAGATGGTACAGCAGGAAGAGCATTTGCCTTGCACATGGCTGGCCCGGGTTCAATCCTTGGCACCCTATATGGCCCTCTGAGCACTGCCAGGAGCGAGCTTGAGTGGAGTCAGGAGTAAGACCTGAGTGAGCACTGCTGGGTGTGACCCCAAACAAACAAAAAAAACCAACAACAAACCCATAAAACAAAAACCATAAACTTAAAAGACATTCTGGGAAACTCGGGGAGAACATATTTAAAATATACATGAAATTTACAGCCTATAGTAAAGAACTCTAACACACAGGGAAGGGCAACGGGGGCAATGTGTGTCACCATTCAACAGAAGCAACACAAAGGGTGAGAAGGTAAAGAAAAGATGCTTCACCTCCGCTGTGATTCTCATTTGTTTTGGGGCCGCGCCCGGCCTTGCTGAGGGGACTGAGCAACTCTGGCAGAAACAGCCCGGGGACCTGAACGCGGGGGGCCGGTTCCCGCCGCTGCCAGGGCGTCTGCACCCCCAGCCAGGATTGGCCCCCGGCACTGCGGGAAGTAGGCCCAGGACAAACACTCCCAACCGCCGCCCTCACGCTGTCACTGGCGATACCCTGGCACCCGAGTGGCACAGCATGACCAGAGGGACCAGGCAGCCCAGCAGGGCGGGGGCCACAGGGGCAGCAAAAGGTCACAGACCCCAAGGTGAGGCCGTAAAAGGGGCTCGACAGAGGGCGGAGGGAAGGGCTTCCCGGCAGGGCCTGTCGGGGGGCGGGGGGGGTCTCCCCGGCCCCGCAGGTGCTACGAAACCTGGCCACGTCTTTCCTTACGCGTTCCTCTCGGAACAAGACTTCCTGCAGCCCCTGGGACGGGGAAGGGGGGGAGGGGGGAAGCCCAGGCCGCCAATCCCATAGTTACATTCATGAATTATCACGGAGTAGGAAACGCATGTTTCCCTTCCACAACGCTCAGCGTTGTCGTAAGCTTGTCTGGGGGCCACCGGGCAGGGCCCAGGCCTGCTCCTGGCTCTGCGCGCGGGGTCGCTCGCATCTGTGCTCAGGCCACGTGGGCGTCCCGGGGACATACGTGCTGCCAGGGCTGGAACCAGGGTCGTGGTCACCGCCCGCCACACGTGCCCTGGCCCCTGAGCGCGCACACTCAGCCCAGATGTTTGTAGTCGGTCAGCAACTTTAACGTTTTCTTGCTTTCCATTTTTGGGGATCCACGCCCACAGGGCTCAGGGTTTCCAACGAACTCCGCACGCGGGGGTCTTTCCCGGTGGTGCTGCGGAATCCAACCAAAGCGAGCGCCCTGCCTGGACTCTCCCCGGCTCCAACTCTCACGTTTCTAATCACATCAACTTGACTGAAACACAGCAAATAACCACGGTCCCATTTTCTGGCCCAGAGGACTTGAGGGCCAAGCCCCAAGGGGCAGAGTCCATTAACCCGAAAGAGGAAAAGGAGAAGAGCCTGAGCCCCAAAGGGAGGAGGAAACAGAGGGCCGGGATGCGAGGAGCAGGCAGCCCGGGTGACACATGGTGGCTGCCTTGGTGCCCCTCTGGGGGCTTCTCATGGGCAGGGAGCAAGAGGCCACCACGGCCTGACCCTGTTTCCGTGAAATACCCAGAGCTGGTGACCACTGAGCGGCCACCGCCTGCACACCTCCGATGCCAGCGCTGCCTGGCCCGCGGGGCTCACCGGGGGGGGCCCTGCACCCCCTCCAACCACTGGCCTGCGGGGGGCCCCGACCCCGCCCCCCTCCCCCGACTGGCCCGCGGGGCTCACTGCGGCCCCCCGCGCTGACCTGTGCCGCCCGTTCATCTCCAGGCCCACCACGGGGCAGATGAAGCGCGCCCGCTGGAGGTCGTCGTGCTTGTCGCCTTTCGTGCCCTCTTTGTCCCCTTCCCAGGCGGGGTTATCCGAGAGCCGCAGCTCCGTCACGTTCTGCGAGGAAACAGCAGCAGCTGAAGAACGCAGGGGGCGGGGGGCGGGCAGATGGTCCCGTGCCTGTGAGCGGGAACCCCTGAAGGAAGGCGTGTGTTCCTCCCAGCTCAACACACACACTCCTCCAAGCTCAACACACACACACACACACACACACACACACACACACACCCGTTGGCTGGGTTCAGGCTTTCAGCTGTCTGAGATCTGGCTCGTGCTGGAGCAGAGCCCCTGTCGAGGAAGCACCCCACAAACCGGGGGTGGGGGGAGGGCCCTCACGTTCTTCAGCACATTTCTAGGATGATTCGGCCCCGAAACAAGTGACCTTTCCTCTCTCTCACTTCTCTCGCCCCGAGCGAGAGCCCAGGCAGCCAGTTAGTCTGACGGGCGCTTCCGTTCCCACCACGAAGGTGACACACCTGTGCAACGGCCGCAAACTGAGCCTTTCACATCTATGACACCACACAAGGCGCTGTCTGGGGAGCGCGGGGGGTGGGGGGTGGGGGGGACGGACGACGGACTGGTCTTGGTCTGCACGTTGCCGGGTGGGGCTGGGTTCGGAGCACCCAGTCCGATAGAGCGCGCCCGCCCGCCCGTCACACTCCCACGCTCACCTTGATGCTTTTGATGTGCGAGGCCGCCTTCCCCAGGGCCTTGTCCGGGGATTTGTCCAGGAGAAACTCGATGACGGCATCTTTGTTGTACAGTCTGCAACAGGAAGGACTGGTGAGGACATCCTGCAAGTAGCACTCTTCACACCAAAGAAAACAGAACGGTGGGTCACCGTCCCGGACACTGGGTGGCAGAAATGCAGCACAGCACGGGAAAAACCCGACTCCCCTCCTGACTGCACTTCAAGAGATGTGCTTATTTGTCTCTTAGTTCATTCATTAGTTTTTTGAGCCACACCCAGCTGTGCTCAAGCCTCACTCCTGGTTCTGGGCCCGCGGGTCATTCCTTAGCGGGGCTTGGGAGACCGTATGCGGGGCTGGGGACCAAACTGGGCCTGGCTTGGTGCCCTGCCCGCTGTACTGTCACTTCAGCCCTCCCGGGGCGGCAGGACTGCGGGTGGGGCACTTGCCTTGTACGTGGCACTGGGAACTGCCAGGTGTGGCCCCGAAACAAGAACAAAAGACAACAAGAAAATCAAAATAAGGGCAGCAAACTGGGAGTCTGAGGGCCGAGTGGGGTGAGGATGTGAGTGGGGTGAGGATGTGCCACAGTGAGAGTTCTTGAGATGTTCACTCCTGCAACTTGCAGTAGCAGGAACCAACCCAAGGCTTTTTTTTTTGCTTTGCTTTTCAGGTCACACCCGGCGATGCTCAGGGGTTACTCCTGGCTTTGCACTCAGGAATCACTCCTGGCAGTGCTCAGGGGACCCTATGGGATGCTGGGAATCGAACCCAGGTCAGCTGCGTGCGAGGCAAACGCCCTCCCCACTGTGCTATCCCTCCAGCCCCCAACCCAAGGCTTTCATGCCAGGCAGCGAAGGGGACAGACCTGCCCAGCTCACACGCGACGATCGGTCGCCTCAGAATCTCTTGACTCAGAGTGCAATAGTTCCACTGGGCCACTAACTCAGCATTTTTGTCAACCTGCAAGAAGAAAAATCCTTTCAATTAATTCCCACCTCTGAAAGGCATCTGGCCCAAATCAGCAACACCAAACGCGGAGGGGTTCCCCCCCCCCTTTACTAGGACTTCAGGTTGTTTACGAAGAAAGAAGGGGAGCCCTAACCGACCACCTACACCATTCCTTCGGAGGCTTCCAGGGTAGAAGCAGAACCTAGAAAGACAATCCCACAGTGCCCAAGGAGCCCACCGCAGCCCTAGTGCAGACACCAGGCCATATTTTGAAAAGTTCAGCACAAGGACTCCAGTTCTTGGTGTAGACACCAGTTTGTAACAGAAGCGAGGGGTCTTTTGTAGGTGATTAGCTGGGAGGCACCGCAAACCCTCATCTAAACCATCAAAATTCTGACGCAGCCCCCCACGTCACCTTCACGGCATTTTCACCCTTGTAGTTCACACCCAGCGCCTCTCTCCTCCCAAACCGTGAAACAGAATTAATGTTAACAGGCCGCCCCATCTGGGAGCAAACAGGAAAAGGTAAAAGGAAAGATTCTTGGATTCACCGTTTGTGGCCACAGCTGCCAAAGAGCTGTGTGCGTCTCAAACCCCCGCTCCACGCTCCTGTCGCTGCATCTGTCTGCAGCTGGTCGGGGGCGGGGGGTGGGGGGGCACCCAGCTGCGAGTTCGCTTCAATTTCCTAAGACCCTTATGCTTTGTTTGCTCGGGGTGGGGGTCCGTGCTGGGACTCCCACATGCGAGGCGCGAGTGTGAGCCCTCTGAGCCACAGCCCCCACCGGAACTGGTAGCTGGTTAGGTGAGGGACTGCGGGCTTATGGTACTTGTCCAAGCTCCGAGCTCAGGGGCAGTCGGGCTGGCTCTGGGGAGCATCATTTCATCATTTCAGCACTGCCATCACTGCGAGCACTCCCTCGGGCATCCTGCTTGTGACAACAACCCTCCCTGGCCGAGGTACTGCAAGGGGTGCACTACTCATTCTGAGAGAGAGAGGGAGGGAGGGAGGGTGGGAGACAGAGGGAGAGATGGAGATCGAGAGGGAGATGGAGAAAGAGGGAGAGGGAAAGAGGGAAAGAAAGGGAGAGGGAGGGAGAGAGGGAGAAAGGAAGAGAGAGGAAGAGAGGGAGAGGGAGAGAGAGGGAGAGGAAAAGGGAGAGAGGGAAAGAGGAGATGGAGAGGGAGTGGGAGAGAGAGGGAAAGAGAAGGAAAGAGGGAGAGAGAGAGAGGGAGAGGGGGAGAGAAGGAGAAGGAGAGGGCGAGAGAGGGAGACAGTGGGAGAGAGGGATGGAGAGGGCCAGGGAACGGGAGAGAGGGAAAGAGAGAGGGAGAGGGAGGTGGAGAGATGGGGAGATAAGAGAGGGAGAGTGAGAGGGAGAGGGGCCGGAGCGAGAGCACAGCGGGGAGGGCGTTTGCTGTGCACGCAGCGGACCTGGGTTCGATTCCCAGCATCCCATAGGGTCCCCCGAGCACCGCCAGGAGTCATTCCTGAGTGCAGAGCCAGGAGGAACCCCTGAGCATTGGCTGGGCGTGACCCAAAAAGCAAAAAAAAGCAAAAAAAAAAAAGAAAAAAGAGAGTGAGAGGAAGAGAGAAAAAGGGGGGAAGAGAGGGAGAGGGAGGGAAAGAAAGAGGGAGAGGGAAAGGGAGACAGAGGAAAAGAGCGGGAGAAGAGGCGGTGGGAGGGAGGGAGCGTGCAAGGCGGGGAGGGGGCCCTTCCTTGCACGCCGCCCCCTGGCCTGACCCCGGCGGGGGGACCCCGGGGGGCCACGGCCCCTCCCCCGACCCCCGTGACAGCGGCCTCGGCGGTCCCCAAACCCGGGCGCGGCCCCCGTGGCGGGAGGCGGGAGGCCGCGGGGCCGTGGCGACCCCAGGGGGGCGGCGAGTCCGAGTCCGGCCCCCCAGCAGCCCCCGAAGCGCGGAAGCCCGAGGCCCCAGGGGACGGTGTCCGCCCGGCCCGCCCCGGCCTCGCCGCCCCCGCCGCCCCCCGCGCTCACCTTCTCCACCTTCTTCGGCCCCTTGACCAGCTCGTGCCTCTTGGGGATTGTGCCCCCGTCGCATCCCATGGCAAAGCCGGAGCCCGAGTCTCGGCCGCGCCTCGCCCACCGCCGCCACTTCCGGAGTCGGCGCGCCCGCGCGCCCACTTCCGGCGCGCCGCGATGACGCAGATCATGGCCACGCCCCTGGGGGCGTGGTCACCGGGCGGGCTTGGGGCGGGGCCTGGGCTGGGGATTAAGGGCGGGGCCTCCAGGGCGGGGCCTGGGCGGGGCCTGGGGCGGACCCGGGTTGCCCTGGAGAAGAGCGACGCTCGCCTGCGCTCCTGGTTCCCGGAGCCCGCGTCTGGGCAGCGCCTGGTGGCGGCTGGCGCCCGCCAAGGCAGGCAGAGGGCTGCCCGTGGTCGGGGGCTGCGTCCTGCACGGAAAAGGCTCTGCCGAGTTCAGCATTTCCAAGGGACGCGCGAGAACAGCAAAGAGCGAGAATTTGAATTATAAACAGCTGCTCTGGGCCTTAGGATGCCCGCCTTGCCAGCTGGGTGGGTGGGGAGGGGGGGCGGTCCCGGGTCTGTGATTCCCAGGGGTGCACTGAGCAACTGCAACGTGTAGAGGGGGTGGAGTGGTGCAGAGAGGGCAGGCGGTAAGCTGGTGAGGTGCTGCCTTGCACGGGCGGAGGTGGGGTGGGTGGAGAGACAGAGACAGAGAGACAGAGAGGGCAGGAGATCAGGTGCTGCCCTTGCATGCCGCCCACCCAGATTTGGTCCCCAGCGCCGCCGGGGATCCCTGCAGAGCTGAGCCCACAGTCGCGGGTCCCCAGCAGAGCCAGGGTTTTGTCCCTCTCCCCGTAAACAGCTGCATTGATGGGTGAGCATCATCGCCCCAGGGTGTCTCAGCCCCCGGGGAACAGCAGAGTGAGAGGGTCACAGCGACACCTCACTGTGTGAACCACAAGTGGCCCCACAAGTGAAGAGTGAGACCCTCCAAACACCCGCCAAGTATGTGAAAACAGCAGCTTGGGGGCTGAGCTGTGGCCGGCCCCAGGGCTAAGTGTGAGCCGACAGCAGGGGTGGAGGGAGGGGGTGGCGGCAGTGGCGGGGGCCACTTCCTCAGGGTTGTGTTGCCCCCCACCCCTGTACAGAAAGGGCATCAGCAATGGGGCAAATCCAGATGACGAGCCTTTTCCCCTTGGTTTGTGACCATACCTCATGGTGCGGAAGAAAGTGCTGGCTGGAGTCTGCCGCCAGGAAGACAAACCCATTCAGCCCCCGTACTCTGCATCTGGGCCCGAGGAGGGCAACGTTCTTTTTTTTTTTTTTATTAATTTTTAAAAAATTGTTTGCTTCTTGGGTAACGCCCGGCAATGCACAGAGGTTTCTCCTGGCTCTGCACTCAGGAATTACCCCTGGTGGTGCTCAGGGGACCACCCTATGAGATGCTGGGAATCGAACCCAGGTCGGCCGCGTGCAAGGCAAACGCCCCACCCGCTGTGCTATCGCTCCAACCCTAGAGCAACGTTCTAGGGCGCCCACACACTCTGACCGCAGAGTCTCCAAGCCCTGCTCTGCTGTAAACTTAAGGACTCTTGCGTGGGCCAGAGCAACAGGACAGCGGGGAAGGCCCTTGCCTTGCGTGTGGCTGACCTGGGTTTGATCCTGGCACCACATACGGTCCCGAGAGCCCCACGAGGTCTGGTTCCTGAGCTCAGAGCCAGGAGTAACCCCTGAGCATCCCCAGATGTGGCCCCCCCAAAGGAAAAAAAAAGAAATTTTCCCATTTGTACCTGCATGTACTTGTCTTGAAGCCTCTGAAGACTGGATTTATTTTTTGCCCTTTTTTGGGGGGGGGGTCACACCCAGCGATGCTCAGGGGTCACTCCTGGCTCTGCACTCAGGAGTTACTCCTGGCGGTGCTTGGGGGACCATATGGGATGCCGGGGATCCAACCCAGGTCGGCCGCGTGCAAGGCAAACGCCCTACCCGCTGTGCTATCGCTCCGGCCCCTGACATTTTTTTTTTTAATTAACAAGTCAGTATCATTATGAAATATGCACTGATGTTGGGGCCCCAGAGATAAAACAGGGGCGAAGGTACTCGCCTTGCATCTACCAGACCCTGGGTCAATTCCCAGGACCACATGTGGGTCCCCTGAACACCACCAGAACTGGTTCCTGAGCCCAGAGCCAGGAGTAAGCATCACCAAGTTTGGACCTACCCAAACCAAACCAAACCAACCCAAATCAAACCAAATCAAACCAAACCAAACCAAACCGCAAATATCCCCCTCTTGGAAGCAGCAGTGATGTGGTGATGAAAGCTTGAAGGGTTCTGAGATGGAGTTCTCCATACTGAAATGAGCATCAATGCCGACCCTTGGTGAGTTGGCGTGCGATGTGTGTGTGTGTGTGTGTGTGTGTGTGTGTGTGTGTGTGTGCGCGCGCGCGCCAACCGGAGGCGGCAACTCTGTGAGGGTCACGACCTTGCAACCTCAGAGTTTGGCACATGTCACATTCACTTCCTCAGCCAGCCCAGAGGAAGCAGATACCTACTTGTGGGGGCAGGGGGTGCCCGGGGTGGGGGCCGGCCCTAGAGGGAGGAGTTCTGCGAGAATCCCGTCTCTGGAAGTTTCTGGGAGGAAAGGCTGGGGCCAGGGTCCAAGGTTGGTTAGCTCTCTCCCCACCAAGAACAGGAAGAAGATCCAACACTGAAGAGCAAAACCCCAAGAATCTTCAGACGAACTCTCCAATCAGTGCTCTTTCCTGCAAAGTCCAGCTGCCCCTAGGAAGGAAGACCAAAGGTCGACGCTGCAGCTCTTAGCCGTGTCTGGGGGGATTCCTGTCCTCTGCTGTCCTCTCGGTCTCGAGAGCTAAGGGCTACAAAGTCCTCTGCGTGCGACGCGACCAACCCGAGGCCTAGGCGGGGTGCAGGCTCAGAGTCCCCCAGCTGGAGGGATGACAGAGGCTTGGGAGCCCCGTCTCGGTACAAACTCGCTGTTCCTCAACCCGCCCCCTCCCCCAAAAAAAATACTGTTGCCACCCCATGTGGGTGGACAGACTTTCTCTTCCTCCTCCGTTTCCTTTTTCAGGACATTGTTCTCCCTGCTGCTCTGTTGGGCAGCTGAGAAACATCTAGACTTTGTTGTGAATGATGAAGCCTGAATAGAGCCGGACTCTGCACCTTCGGGTGGCCCCCTGATGCCTCACCCCTGCAGTGGCCCGTCCCTCCCCAGCCCTGCGGCCTCTGCCCTGGGTCCTTGTGTGGGGCCTGTCACGGAAACCCGGGATGTTTCCCCTTTCAGGCTCACGAGGGGATCTTACTCCCCAGGGAGCTCTCCCTGGGACTTGTCCTGTGGGCGTGTGGCTGCATTTCATCTGCAGCCCTGGGGTCATAGCAGAGGTCTCTGGCATGCTCTGCTCCCCGTGCCGGTCACTCCCAAACCCTCCGAACCTCTGAGTGGGTGAGTCTGATACCCGGCGGTGCACTCCACCCAAGCGCCCTCCCACTGCCGTAGTGGAAAGTTCCGCCTGGAAAAAGCTGCTAAGTGAGTTCCTACCCATTTGGAGAGCGAGGTTAGGACGTGGGGGCAAGGGGTCCTACACCCCTGGTGTCACTCCTGCTGGTGCTCAGGGACTCAGAGCTGTCACATGCAAAGCACACGCTCCAGCCTTCCAAACCAGCTCGCCGGTCCGAATGGTTCGGGTTTCTTTCTCCTTGGCATGTGGTGCTGGGGATCAAACCAGGGTCCTCACATGTGCCAAGCCAAGGTCTACACCGCTGAGCAACATCCAGGACCCTAAGATCTTTTGAGGAATGTCACAGCATTAAAAGAACGTCACCAGGAGCTGGAGAGATAGTACCGTGGAGAAGCTACTTGCCTTACATGTGACTGACTGGGGTTTGGCCCCCAGCACCCACTACGGTCCCCTGGGAGCCACCAGTAGTGAGCCCTGTGTTCGGAGTCAGGGTAAGCCATGAGCTATGCCAGGTGGGACCCAAAGGAACGAGAAGAGAACTCCCAGAAAGATGACTTTTTCTTTTTGCCAGCCCCTGTGGGGACTTCAGAGGGCTTCAGGGACCCTCCCAGTGATTCTCAGTCAACTGGGAGGGTGGTTCCATGCGAGGGCCTGAGAATGGGGACCTGCTTGGACCCTGTGGTGCTGGGGGTGACCAAGACCATCCAGGTGGTACTGGGGGTGACCCAGACCATCCAGAGATGCAGCCAGGCCGGTCGCCTGCCTAGCATGCAGCAACTCTACTGTCTACCCAGCCTGATGAAAATCACTGTATCACTGTCCTCCCGTTGTTCATCGATTTGCTCGAGCGGGCCCAGTAATGTCTCCATTGGAGACTTTGTTGTTACTGTGTTTGGCATATCGAATACGTCACGGGGAGCTTGCCAGGCTCTGCCGTGCGGTCGAGATACTCTTGGTAGCTTTCCGGGCTCTCCGAGAGGGGTGGAGGAATCGAACTCGGGTCGGCCATGTTGGCTGTGTGCAAGGCAAACGCCCTACCGCTGTGCTATCGCTCCAGCCTGATGAAGGGGAAAAAAAAAAAAAGCACTTTCACTTTGCAGATTATTTTTTTTCTTTTTGGGCCACATCCAGCAATGTTCAGGGATGTTTTTGCACTCAGGAATTACTCCTGGAGGTGTAGGGGACCTTATGGGATGCCGGGAATCAAACCCGGGTCAGCTGCACGCAAGGCAAACGCCCTTCCTGCTGTACTATCACTCTAGCCCCCTTGTTTTTTGTTTTGGGAGGGGCAGCACACCCTTCGATGCCCAGGGGTTCCTCCTGCTTCTGCACTCAGGGACCTCTCCCGGTGGTGCTGAGGGGACCGTATGGGATGCCCGGGATCGAACTCGGGCCCACCACGTGCAAGGCAAACGCCCTGCCCGCTGTCCTATGTCTCCAGCCCCTTACTTTGCAGTTTTGGGGGACACCTTTCAGGGCTGCCTCGGACAGCCAGGGCCTCCACAGTCTGGCCTCATGACCTCTCCTGCGCGCATGGTCAGGGAAGCTTTGAGGCGCCATGGGGTGGGCCCAGGCACGGCCCTCTCGTGGGGAACTGAGGTCAGGCAACGCTCAGCAGATGCTT